CTCATGGCAACCCCATGTGCTGCAGAGTAGAACTGCCCTCTGTAGGGTGTTTTTGGCCTGTAATCTTTATGGAAGTAGATTGCCAGGATTTTCTTCCTCAGTGCTATTGGGTGGGTTTAAATTGCCACCCTTTAGCTTAGTTGTTGTTGTTGTTGTTGTTATGTGCCGTCAAGTCGGACCCAACTCCTAGCGACCTCTCCTTGGTCTTCCGAGGCAGTATCACTAAGGAAGTAGATTGCCCCATCTTCCTTCCAAGGAGTGGCTGTTGGGTTTGAACCACCAGCCTTCTGGTTAGCAGTCAAGTGCCTTAGCCACTATGCTACCAGAGCTCCCTTTAGCTTAGTAGTCAAGTGCAAAATGTTTTTAATACACAGGGACCTTTATATACATGGTGGTGGTTAGTTGCTCTGAAGTTCACTCTGACTCTTGATGACCCCATGCAAAGTAGGTAATCTATTTGTTGGGTTGTATCAAGTAGAATAATATTGGGTATTGTGTTTAGAACAAGGAATAAATAGAGGCTACAAAAGGCTGGAGAGGAAGGATCCCATTAGAAAGCAGGTAAGGATCGGGGATGATTTTGAATGCACTTTACCTTCAGTGTAGAACCATGAATGCTTTGAGAATGAGAAGCTGACACGTAAAAAATAGTGATTTAAAAAGTTGAAAGTTTGTAAGGTGGATTGGCGCATGGGAAAATAAATTGCTTACAACTCTCTTCTTAGCGGTGATTTTTCCCTACTCCTTAAATCAGATAACTGCTCTGTTTCCCCTTAACCTTATAAATGATATCCATGTTATACTACTGGAATAATCACTTTCTGTATTTGCATAAAAAGTAATTCTAAAATAATTTTAACTTTTTTGTGTGTTACTTTGAAAGTAATTCTAAGGTTGTTTTCTTCAATATGTCTTTCATCCCCAAACAGTTGGTACCTTTTGTGAATTGTGACCATTCTGCAATATTATAAATGAGGATAGATAACACAATGAAATATTTTATTCATTCTCCCAACTGTCTTGTTACAGAACTTTTTTTTAGAATACCAGCTTAGAACACAGGTGCCCTTATTTGAAAAGGTTTTTTGGAGCATTTTTCTTTATTCTTCTGTGTAGTGGTTACAGATAAACATTTAACAAATTCATTTTCATAATAAATTTAAATTATTGTAAAATATCATTTTCTTAGGTTATTTTTAATTATTCAATGAAGATACATTTAAAAAATGACAACCAAAATAGTTGTTCTTCCATGTTCCCCTTACTGCCTACCCCCGTGGTTAAAAGTCATATTTTTAAGCTTGTTTTTGCTGAGTTGTTTTCCTTAATATCTGTCACTTACATGTATTTTGACTGACACGTTTGTTGAACATACCAGGGGGCCTTCAGGCAGAGGCTTCAAAACTTTAAAGGCTTGTTTCTCTCTTCAAAAAATTAGAGTGAAATTAATAATTGTCCTAGGAGAAGCAGGAAACATCTAGGTCTTGACAAACTGTCAGGGAGGCTCAGAGATATCTCCCTATAGCCTAGAGCCCAGTTAGATTTGATTGACCAGTCTTCACAAAACTGAAAGGCCTTTTTTGAATGGCATCCTGCCACCACAAGTGTTTGTCAGTAGGGGAACTGAAGCAGAATAGCGTTTAAAAAGTGGATAAAATGAAAACCAGAGCAAAGTTGAAGAGGAATGGTAATGGTAGAGGGCAAGAAGAAAGATTGATGGTTTCTTGTAGTTATGTGGGTACATACAACTTCATTAATTCCAGAAGACTCCTAATCATTGAGATTATAAGGAGGATGTCATCCAGAGTGAACCTCTTTTTTTATTAGTCCTACAAGACCGTTGTGTCTCAGATAAGTTTTCCTGATTTGGAAAATGATTTCTTCCTATATCTAGTTGTGGAAAAATAGAATAAGAATAAGATGCAATGGGTTTGGTAATGATGAAATGAAAATGAGATGTAAAACCAACTCTTCTTTTTATCTTTTGAGGGAAGTCATAAAATCACTGTTAATAAATCAGTGAAAAAAAGAATAAGAAATTGCTTCAATGGATCTACTAAACATGAAAGAATATTTTGTTTTCATTGATATCATTCAGCTGAATTTCCTGTACATTAGTAGTTAGTGACTTTATAAACACTGAGATAGGTACTTGTGCAGCTGTTAAATTTTTATCTGGAGGAGCCTTGGTGGCACAATGGTTAAAGAACTCGGCTGCTAACCAAAAGGTTTGAACTCACTAGCTGCTCTCTGGGAGAAAAAGGTGGCAGTCTGTTTCTGTGAAGGTTTACAACCTTGGAAACCATGTGGGGCAGTTCTACTCTGTCTTATAGGGTCTTATGAAGGTTGATGACTTGATCATAAATAGAAAACAACAAAAACTGAGACCAGTGTGGTCTTGTAGCATTATAGTTTATTTCACAACCAAAACAGGCCAAAGTCTATGACATGAAGGTTATCTAGAGACCATCTCTATTCCTTTCTAGGTTTTAGGTTAATTCAAAATTTAACCATTTACATAATAAACATAGGTAATGAAAATGGTATGCCTATTTTATTTAGGATTATAGTCAGAATCAATATACAGGAATGTTTAATGAACAAATCATAAAAATTCAGGGCATGTGATATTGATGTCTGTTATTATCACTGAATATTAGCTAATTGAATAAATGATTATCTCCAAAATTTTAACTAATAACAAGGATTGGGTTTTGGAGATACTGCTTCTCATGAAGACCAAAATACCTGTTCCTACCTAATCTTGTGGAATAAAATTAGAATTCTCTCTTGCTAGTAGACTGTGTTCTGTATGAATAGTTTATTGGATATTTAAGATGGCTTTTTAAAATTTATTTCTTTCTAAGATGTTTTTGGAATTACCAGGAGGCAGTTATTTTGGAAAATGAAATTGTTTACTAGCAATTAATACTTTGGCATTTAAAATTGCTTCATTTTTATAAAGATTATTGTTTGACCCTCAATTAATGATGAGATAGTTATAAATATTTAGAAAACATTCTTTAAGAGGATGTTTTTTGAAGTTTTATCATACTTTGAATTATTCTGCTAAACACATCAGTATTTAGCTGTAGAACTTCAGTGTAACATTGACCCTGAGAAGATCATCATGCTCAAATCTCAGTATTGGTTTTTTTGCATTTAAAAAAATCTAAAATTTTGCCAAGTGGTTTATATTTAAAAGTAAAACAAAACTTTATCTGAAACACAATAATTAAAATTAAAGGCCATGTACTAGGTAAATATGTAAAATAATTGGGATATCTATATTTGGTACTGTAAGTCTTTTATGAGTAATATACAGCAATTGAATCAATAGGTATACACACACCACACACACATAAATTCATGTGATTTATGAGAAATACATACCGTGATTATTTGTGACTAAATTGAAAGCTTACATTTGTATTATGGTATAAATTAGTTATAAATGCGGTTTTATTGTATTCAGTTGCATTTTTTTCATCAGGCAATTTATCACATGGGTCTATGTGAAATTTCTTCATTTATTAAATTTCAGATTATGTATTTCAAGCCAGAGCAAGACTTAAACATTTTTCCATAAGTATAGCTTCAGGTAAACAAGTAATTTTAGTCCTGAAAATAGCTTCTGCTTCTGTCAACACGTTGTATATTTTCTCTCTGAGATAAAAAGTTCAGTTTTCTGATATTTGTACCAAGATAAAGTCAGTAAACAAGATTAATATAGTGTGGAAAAGGTTGTCAGCAGCCCTAGCAAAGGAAATAAGTTGCCTGTACATAGAACATACTGTAAACTGAATAAAAGTGTCAGGTCCACCATGAGATAATGTGATCATGAACCTCTAACAAAGCATGACATAGGCACAGTCGGCTTTTCTCATAGCCACAGTGTAGAAAATGGATTACTGTATTCCAGGGATACCCACTGGAATAGCATGAAAACCTCATTTTGAGATGAATGCAGGATGTAGTCCTGGAGTTGAGCCACATGTTTACCTGTGGTGCTCAACCATAGGGTTATTAATGCCATCATCTGTGCACATTCACAGTCTTTGCATTTGTTGGAATTTCAGAGTATAGGCTTGCATCCTGGTTACCCAAGTGATACAAGAAGGAGTGAATTTTTGAAAATGTCATTTCCTCTTTAGTGGCATTTTACTACCTCATCGTGCCATTTTTATTCTGTATCTTAAATGATACTTCTATAATTACCGAAGCACTTTTGCTTATGACAGACTTAAGTTGGAGGTTTTTGTTCTAAGTTTGCTCTTTGTCTATTGCGATGGTAGATTGATTCATGCACTGTACTCCGTTTATGTTACTTTTGAGAACCCTCTGTAAAATGAGAAAATTGTTTAAATCATCAAAAATGTATTGGAACTTCATCAGATGTTTTCTTTGATTTATAAATAAAGGAGTAAAATATTTTTATATTCTGCAAAATTACATTTTGCTCTATTTAGGTACACAGATAACTTCTAACTTGGAGAAGAACTATGAAATGAGTTATTCCCTACCTCCACGATATAAGTTTCTGTATGCATTTATATGTTGCATTATACTACGTGTTACTTACATTTAAAAATTAACTACAAATATGTTGGTATTCTGAAATATCTACTCAGTATTAATCTCATTAATAAACCTCTTTTTTTCTATATAAAGTTAAATATATCCACAGCTGGATGGTATTTGAAATCAATGGTCTAGTTCTTAAGATGTTTATTCTGTTATAAAGGTATTTTGAAAACAGTCTTAAAAAAGTCTAGCAGAGGAACTACACTAGACCAGAACAAGTAGAGCATTATTATCAGAAAATAGACTATACTTTGGTCTATGGAATTTTATCTGAGATTTTATGAATTAATATTATATTCTGTTCTATTCTTTGGTTTACTTGAATGTCTCTAAATGGAAATATCAGTATTATTCATTGTCCTTTTACATTATTCATTGTCCATTGTGACTTATTCTTTTGTTTTTAAATATTTCAGGTGACCACTCCTGGGCCAGTCAGTAATAAGAGGATGGTTCACTTTTCCCCAGATTCTCATCAGCATGAGTGAGTACTCATTGTATTTATAGAACCTTATTCATATCTTATTCATATTCTACTTAGTTCTTTTGGGAAATTTGTAGCTATTGCTAGTAAAGGTGGTTTAATTCACACCTATCTTAAGAAGGAGTAAATGTTATATGCCAGTGGCAGTAGCGAAAGAACAATTTAAGTAAAACCCATGGCAGACATTTAAATAAAGATTTTCAAGTACAGTCATTCCTTTATTTCATTTGTGATACAATTTAGAATTCATGTACAGTGAAACACAGATCCACAACTCAACGGGACTGCCTTGTTTTTCTGGATCTCACCAGTTTTCCACCTTTGACAGGATGCAGTCTTACCACTATTCTTTCTCTCTTTAGTGGCAAATAAATTGAGTTTTCTATTCTGATAGATTTCTGCCTTATACAAGTTCTGGCTTACGATGCAGGTTTGACTGTATTACCTTAAAATATTTTCACTACAATAAGTGGCATCAAGCTACTTACTTGCTTCAGATACCCCTCTTATGCCTATCACCTTACTCCTTTCTTCCCCAGTCTTCCTAAAATACTGAAAGGAAGGAAAAGTGACTGGTTTCCTATTACTTCTCTACTCTTTGTCTTGCCCAGCATTTGGTAATAATGTTAAAGAATTGTGAAGGGACCAGAATGTATTTACATTTAGCAACAAAAGAGAGAGACTAGTTTATTACATAATTAAACAAACAATTAACTAAAAAGTTGAACAGTTGAGCATTGACTTTGGTAAATTCTTGGATGAATTTCTAGGTGCTAATTCAAGCTATATCTTTGTTGGAAAAGCTTAAATATGTATTTTAGCTCAATACCATTGATAACTCTGCAAAGTAGGTTGAACTTGAAAGAGGCCATGAAGTAAAGAAAGATATCAAGTAATTATTAAATGAAATTATACTGATAAGCAATTATACTAGAATCCCTTAGATCCTAATTTTTAAAAGCTATTCCTTAGCAAATATAAAACAGAAATTGTTGTTCAGCTCTAGCATAAAGATACATAAATTTTCCTTTTTAGTAGCTGATTTCATTCATTTTTATTCTCCTATAAGAACTTCTGTCTATCAGAAAAAACAAAGAGTAAACCATTTATTATCTCAGAATGACAACCAAAATAGTTTAAAATTTTCTGTTTTTATTAAAAAAAAAAAAAAAACAGGCAAATAGATTTAGAGTTATTTTAAAATCCCAAATTGCATTGGTGGAAATTTTAAATTCTTCAAGGGCAGACAAATGCTGTATCATTTTATCACCATTATAGTCCTGGTGCTAGCCCAGTACCTGTACCTGGTATGTTATAGACGTGCATTGAAAGTGGGACAGATTGGATAATATAAACTGGAGTATTGCTTCTCACATAACCAGAAATGATAGCTCATTATATTTTTCCCACATCCCTTCCACACCAGTCTCCCCGGTCATTATCAATCAATTAAATAAGAATCTGGGCATGAAAGTCAGCTACTAGTATATTTAGAGCTTCCTACATGATCTCAACCCACCAGCCACTCCTCGGAAGGAAGGTTGGGCAATCCTACTTCCGTAGTGATACTGCCTCGGAAACCCAAGGAGTGGTCGCTATGAGTCGGGGCCGACTCGACGGCAAACAACAACAACAACAACAACAAACTGCTTCACTCTTCCCTTCACTCTGGGCTTTTACTTGCTCCATTCCATAGTACCTATATCTATCAAACCCTATTTATCATTTTAACAACTGATTTAAAAAAGTATCTATTAGAATGTATTAGCAAGTAACGGGATGCAACTAACAATAGCTTAAACCAAAAGGGCTTTATTTTTCTCATATAAGTCTGGAAGAAGGTAGTTCGAGGGTTTGTTAACTAGCTTAAGGATGTCATCAAGGACCATACTGTTTCTGTTTTCTTCTTCATCATCCTTCCTTTTTTTTTTTTTTTTTTAGGTTTTGGTTTAAGATTTACAGATTTTTTTTTTTTTTTTTTTTTTGGTTCTTATATCCTTACATGCATTGCCTAATAGTCTCTAAATGGCTGCTGTACGTCTGTCCACACATCATGTGTGCGTTTAAGCTGAAGAAGAGGGGAAGGACAATACTAGCAGCTCTCTTTTACCTTATATCAGGAAACAAAATTCTCGATATGCCCAACCAGATTTGCTTGCATTTGTCTCTAATTGCTCAATATCCTGAAATTTTCTTGCTGTTGCTTAACAAAAGAAGATATATTATTTGTGTTCAGGGTATGGCCAGGGATAGTTTTAGTTACATGCTTCATCGACTCTCTAGCCAAAATAAATGGATCCATACCACCTTTTTCTTTTCTCCTACTCAACTTGCTCTCTATTTTAAAGTATTATACATTTAACCCACTTTCAACACAAAATTCAGCACCTCAAAGAAGAAGACTCAGGCTATTCATGTACTCATCAAGGTATACAAATAAGTTCCAGGGGATACATGGTCAACAGTAGTTTTAAAGGAGTCAACTTCTAGATCCTTGACTTCCATATACCTTCTTTTCCTGGAACTTACCAGACCTGGTTATTTTTCTGGGTCTTGCCTTTTACCGTTGCCTTTCTCCCACTTTAGAAAAGAAAGATTCCCCACTATTTCTAATATTTCTTTAATGCATTGCCATAGTATAAAATCCTTTCATATTCCAAACATGAAAATTTTAAATACTGTGCTGGTATTGAAGTTGAGGGATTGAATGTAATGATTGGGTAACAAAGCCTTTTGCAAATTAGGTAAGTGGTTTCCAGGTCTTCGCTTTCAGCAGTTGGTAGATTATTAAGCATACTCTTTAATGCTAGTGATCATTTTATTACCTGCCTTAAAACTCTGAAGATGTTCAAGTAATTGAATGGCTACTCTAAACAAATTCCTTTTTATTACCTTCTAACAATTTGTATGAACAAGGTTTCTGAGTACTCAAATCTATAAATATAAAAATTAGGAATAGAAGAGATGCTAAAAAAATGCTCATCAATGCATACATGAAATGATTTTGGTAAAAGGTCTTTAAAGATGATGGATTTTAACAAAATCTTTTTTCACTTTTAGAATGATCAAAATTATATTTATGTTGGTTAATTTATGATTGGTTTAATAATAACTCAGATCATTAATAACTGATGAAGAACTTCAGTACTAGTAGACCTTTCAGAAGAATTTTTTACCACTTAAGTTTTATAGTCATAGAAATTTAAGAAAATTTAATTTAATATAATCATAGATGTTTGTTCCTGAGAAGTATGATAGAGTTACTGATGAAAGACATTTAGGCGTAAAAGTGTATTATTGTAGCATAAATTCTTGTAAGGAAGTAAAATAGAAATAGGAATTTAAGGAGAAAAATAAGCTATGTAAAATCGTTAACTCCTATTGTGGAGTTGTCTGTTTCTCTTTTCAATTGACTTACATATTTTGGGGCTGCTTTATTAGGTGAAAATCATCGACTCTTAAGTGCTTGTTCTGTTATATTTTAAAAATGAACTGTGATTGGTATCAAAACATAGTGATATTTAGATTTCAATATATATGTATGTAAAAGAGTATCATAATGGTTTTATTTTTTAAATACCCATATCTGTCATTTAGAGAAAATTAAATCCTTTACAGCTCTTTAAATTTATGGTGAAAATTTTACACGTCTACATAAAAATATGTGAGGAGGATATCTTCATAATTGTGTTAGATGAAATCCACTCAAGAAAAGTTGAAGACCAGTAATCTATAGAATGCATTTAGGAAAAATTAGCAATATCCTGCAAGTAATGATTTAAGCAAATAGTGATTTCATTTTCTGACATAAACAGAAATCTGCAAGTAGGCATCTCCAGCGCTTTGCAGAGGCAATAACAGTATCTGCTACAACTTCCTTTAAGGAATCTTTGATATTTCCTCCTCCTAGTAATTCTCTATACTTCCTGTATTCTCCCAGGTTATTGTTTGTACTTGGTTATAGTATTTATCACATTATTCTCTGGAATATAATTATTGTATACATGCTTTATCCTACTTAATGGATCATGAACTTTCTAAAGCTAGAGACTTTGTCAGCGTTTCTTTGAGTCTCTCACAATATACAGCAAGTTTATCAAGTTCCACTACTGCCTAGTGATGGACTATGTTCATGAAGGCCCAGATAAAGGCCTAAACTTGTTAAATACAGTTAATAATTGGCAGAGGCTGGTGATACTGTAGCTAGAAGAAACAAAAATAAAACAAAAACTCATTGCCATTTAGTCTGTTCCAACTCATACAACCCCATGTGTTGCAGAATACAACTGCTACATAGGGTTTCAAGGCTGTGACTTTTTGGAATGCCACTGGATGGGTTCCAACCACAGCCATTTGGTTAGTAGTTGAGTGCTTAACCATCTGTGCCATCCAGGGACTTCTTAGACATAGTCTTACTCATCACCTGATGTTATAGTTAACAACTTGAGGCTTAGAATGGCTAGATTAATTGCTTGGGTTCACACACTAGCTAGTGGAAGATCTAGGGCATACCACATTAGAAATAAGCACTGAATTTGGTCATTTTGGGGTGGTGAAGAGATTGCAGGTTGGTTTTGTATTCTACTTTGTATTTATATATATGTTTTTGTTTATACCTTTGGTATTTTCCATACTTAATTACTGTAAATTTAGCCAAAAAACTCACAATGACTATTATAAAGAGGATGGTACTAATATAGTTATATTGCATAGTGATTTTAAATATACAAAGACATGTTATTTCATTCTATGTACTCAGTCTTGCTGACTAAGAATGGCTTATGAGCCTTCTTTTGAATATAAGAAAATTACAATTTAAAACAGCTATGCAATTTGCTCTAAGTTACATGGCTACAATAATGGATCAAAAATGGAAGGTGAGCTCTGGTGTTTATCCTGTGCTCCATCTATTCCAACACACAGTTAAGTTGAGGGTGTAAACTCTTATGTCATCCTTGCCATATCTTATCTTACTCCTTTATTCTTCATGCTCTGAGCTC